TACTTCAGTTTTGCCTAATGAAAATGTCTCACACTTTTTGCGGCCAGTGATCCCTTATATGATATGTAGAATCTTTCTGCTCCTTACCTGGCAGCATGAGCACCCCTGCCTTATAGCACTAGGCAGCAAGTTTTTATTTGAAATGACATAGGACGTTATCACACGGGGCCTAAAGCAGTCCCATCCCCGTCGCATCCCCGTTCCATTGCGGTTCCTTTTCAATCCAGAACTTACCGGCATACAGAAAGCAGCATCATTCTGGTATCATTCTGGTTGCGGCAAAATGTAATTCCCAAAGAAACCGGCATTCAAAAGAACGGGGATGATGCTGGATGATGCCGAATGGGACGGGGATGGGACGGGGATGGGTGTGACATCGTGTGAAGACACAGGGAAAGGAAGTGCAATGGGACGGGGATGGGCGGGGTTTCTCTGCAACGTCGTGTGAACACAGGGGAAAAGGAAGTGCAATGGGACGGGGATGCGATGGGGATGGGACTGCTTTAGACCCCATATGATAATGTCCATAGAAACACCATCTTTGGTTCTGCAGTTGTGGGAAATCTTAATAGCCATTTTGCTTTAGGTTCTAGCTATTTTACCTAGAGGTAAATGGGATAAATGAGCAATTTCCTGAAGTCTATTAGGATTGTACTTGTTCCTTCCTTTGGTAATAGTGGGTATGAGAGGAGGAGATATGAAAGACATTTCCTGCTTTTCAGATTCTTCTCAGGTCTGACAGCATGTTTCTCTCTGTGTTGTTGTTGTTGTTGTTGTTGTTGTGTGCCTTCAAGTCTTTTCTAACTCATGATAAACTTATCACAGGGTTTTCTTGGCGGATTTCTTCAGAGGGATTTTGCCATTGCCATCCTCTGAGGCTCCCAGGGAGTTTTTATATCTGAGTAGAGATTTGAACCCTGCTCTCCAAAGTCATCATTCAATGCTCAAATCACTACACCATGTGATGGCACTGAACCCCCAAACTCTGGGCAACCTCTCCCAGTGGTTTCATGTATATATTAATTAGCATGGGGGACCACCTTCTAGGTTCACTATCTAGGAAGGAACAAAGCCACTGTAAAACAGTGTCCCCAGATCCCATTCCAGACAAATGATCAAGAAGAATACCATGGCTGATGGTATCAAAACCTGCTGAGAGGTCCAGCAGAGCCACCAGGGACACATTCCCTTGTTTTTCTGCCAGTGTAGGCTATCCACCAAGGTGACCAAAGCTGTCTCTGTTTCATAAGCACACCTGAAACCAGATTGAAATGGATCTAGATAATCTGTTTAATCCAGAAA